AAGATGTTGAACTAGCAACCGAGATATAACCGCCTTTTGTACCAGGCTAGTAAGGCATTCATTTCTGCTGCAAAGCTGCGGCATTTTCCATGGATGTTTACGGGAATAGACCTGCTTTTGAAGAGAGCCTCAAGTGGCCATTTCAGGAATTGCAGAATTTGGCTTTATTAGAAGTTTGAGCAAAGCTTTGCCTTTGGGATCATCTTCCATCTCGGAGTAATCAAACAAAGATGACAGAATTGATTAAAATGACCTCCAATCAATGAAGTTAACACATTACACTTCTTGCTCATAAAATCTGCCTTCTGAATGCTTCTACAAATTAACCCCTCCTTTAACTAGAAACATGAGAACTGATGGGTGGCGTTTGCTATGCACATTCATGTTCCCACAGAACAAAATTGTTTTCACACCATTTTTATTCCACGAGCTTTCTGCAGACTCCAACAGTAAAGCCAGACATTTATTTAAACTCCAAAGGAGATAATCCCATTGGACTCTAATGGCCTCTTGGCCACAGATTAGCAAAATCATCAATATGTTATTCATTCCATCCAGTTCAATAACCATGGCAGGAAATGGGGGTCATAAAGGGTTTTTGAGTTTGTCTCGTTTATTAAGCTTCCCTGTTGCTTCACTGTGACCAATCAAAAAGAGCCAGACTTTCCACTTTCCCCATCCTCTGCACTCATTCTCCTCCCAAGAAAATCCTGGTTGAAAAACATTCGCAGCCCCACAGCAGCCAGACGGAAAGCTGCTCCCGTACAACGCGGCACACATGTTCTGTCACTTCCTAACACCTTGCACACAGGGGGACATCAATGACACTGTTAATTACTATCAAGAACATGGTTTACAAGTACATGGGCGACACATGGTGCATTATCCACTTCTGTGTGTAAAGCCAACTCTCTCCTGTTAATAGGCTGGTCAGGTTGATAATCGGAGCAATTGTTCGAAACAGTGCTCGTCGTAATGAGTTGGACCAAAGCCAGCCTGGATAATAAAGGTGCAAACATTACCAAGTAGGTTTTGGTTAGGGCAGAATTGTCCTGGTGTCTAATAATGGCTTTCTGCTTTACATTGAAATCGGTATTTGCTTCACTTTGGACATTTTGCATTTTTTCCTCTAGAAATCACTAAACTCTTTCAAGCCTCCATAGCAGATTTTGACCACACGCTAAACCCAAATGCACCTACTCTTTAAGTTCAATAAGTAGTGTTAATGTATTCAGAAATTAAATTAATTTAAGCTTCTTGAGTTTCTGTGACAATTTTCTCAGTTTTGACTACTTTTATCATGTCTGCACGTGTCAGGAGAGTTGGATGATGCCTGTATGGAACCTGTGGATTGCTGGGTTGATGAATACGTCCATTTCAGCACAGATACAGTTAAGCTCTGGTCATTGTAAAATGAAAATAACGTGAACATAATGCAGTTGTTGGTGAGTGTCAAACATCAAACTTGTGGATCTAAGTGAACATTTGTCACTTAATCAAAAGATTTCAATTTGTTAAAAATTGTTATGTTTAAAAATAAATTAGACTAAAGAGACTTTTTAAACAGTGCATTAAAAGAAGGTTATTTAACCATTTGGATTTTGAAGTTGCTAAATAGCATAATATTTATATATACACACTTATACACTACTATACAATGCAGTGTAAAGTGCTTTGGGGTCCTTAGGGACTGAGTAAAGCGCTATACAAATACAGGCCATTTACCATATACTGCAGAAAAAGTACCCATTCCAAACTCATTAAACTTTCACTCTGGTTAAACAGCTTTACAACATTTTTCCTCTTTTATTGCTGTGGAATTTCATCAGGTCTGAACTTTAGAGTCGATTTTTCTTTGTTCAAGTAACACAACCAGTCAGATGACGTTACGGACGGACATATCAAGGCTCTTTTTGGACATTCAAACTAAACCAAATGTAGTGTTTAAGCCTAAAGTTGTCTTCAGACACAGTTAATCATTGGTAGGAATTTGACCTCCTTATCTGACCCAAACAGCGAATGTACCAACTATATGCTAGCTCTAAGCCAGAGGTGTCACACTTATTTTAGTTCATGGGCCACATACAGCCCGAATCGATCCCTGAGGTAGTAAAACCAAACATCAAAAGGAAGGAAGAAAAGAACAGAATAAAATGCCCTCTCTAAAGAACTACAAGTGCATCCTACAAATATGAAGAACAGCCTGATGTCTCTGTAAAATAAATGTAATTGCATCATAATGTCTCCACATTAATTACATTTACTTTCCTTACAACTGCACACCAGTTTAGCGGTTATTTGTATCCCTCTAATGTCAATCAGCAGCATCCTTCACTCTCATCAGTAGTTGCTTGAATCACTCTGCCCAAGCTTAAAGTAGGTCCAAAGTTAAGTTGTTTTTTGTTTCTTTTGGTTCTATGGCCTGTGGTCACCACATTGCTGCCAGCTTCCTGTGAGGATGTGTGGACTTTCCATACATTTTCACTCCTGTATAGTCTTACTGTCTGAACATAGCCATGCTGGTAACAGCAATGCATTTCATTTTAAAATATATTTCACTGCAAGTTTCACTGTTTTTTCTTTCAAGCCAAAAGCCAGCCTGCTGGCTACTCCCAAGGCCTCATGTTTGACATCCGTACTCTCAGCTAAACAGCAATGAACACATTGATTGTGTTTGTGCGAGTATGCCTGTGTTCTATTCTGTAAAGCACCGGAATACACAGTTTTTTGCTTAAACCTAAACATTATGAACGCCTTTCCCGTCCTTTTCAAGGCAAAAAAAAAAAAAGAAACATTTCCACTGACCTTCACTATTAATTAGTGTAAATCAGCATCTTGTTGAGCAGAAAGCTTATCTGAATCACTGATTTCAAATATTAGCCTTGCACAACATGTATCTTACACAAAGAGCTGAGAGCCAGCAGGTTTTCAATCCAGCTAAAGGACTGCAGCAGGTGATTCATTTTTTTCCTCTCCGGTTGATGGAATGCCAATCTGTAAAATAACCTGCTGCAGTCTTTGGCTGGAATGAAAACCTGCAGACCCTTGGTCCTGTGTGGCCCATTTTTGCCTCTATGATGAAAATGCTCACACCAACAGAGATGTATTTTTTGTAGAAAATGGCAGTTTTGCCTGAGGCTACTGGCCACTTCGCTAGAAATTTTAAGAAGTGTTTTCTCTTTTTCTTTTCATCTGGTGCCCACCTCACACTCAATAGAAATGACTGATATGGCAGATTGAGATGTGATAAAAATCCCCAACATAAGCCTGTTGGAACAGCACTGAACAACACTCAGTTATTCACTGACTCATGAAGTCTACCTCTGTAAAAACTCTACTGCTAATCAAATGGCAGCTCGTGTAGTAAAATTTTGAGTGTTTTACTACACGGGCCAGTAGTGTGCAGTCTCATATACAGAGTGACGCTAGAGACTCTGCAGATTTATCTTTAAACATATGAATAAGACTTTAAAGTGACAAGTTTTTTGGTGTTCTACCAAAAACACACATAACTCACTTTGGATGGCGGATGTCAGGAACAGAGCGGTTCAGGGAGATGCGGTCGCTGACGTAAATGTTGAAGCCGTTTTCTCTGTAGGCTTGATCGACCCGGTCAGCATCAGTCAGGGGGAACGGCTTCCCCTGTTCACCGTTACCTACAAATGAACAACATTTCATCACAAAAACTTCAATCTATACAGACCAAAAGTGAGCAAGCAAATCTCACACGTCATTCTCTTCACAGAAATTCAACAAGAGGGGAGAAATTAAACAGTAAGTGAATTTGGGCTTTTAGTGACTGCATCACTACAGGAAGAGAGGCGTGCACAAGATAAAGAAAAGAACTTAACTAGAATTACAGAATTATAACTGGAATTAAAATTATATTCACTGTAATACTAATTTACTCAAATGAATGCTGTGTTTTATTTAAGAACACTTCAAATTAGCAATTGAGTCCATGACCTCATCAGGAAATGTTAAGAGCAAAGAAGTCTGGGTCTGTTTTCACACACACACACACACACTCTCTCTTTTGGACCCACAGGAGTCGCCCCCTTCTCATGCTTAGAAAGCTCCACCTTTTAGACCTAGAAGCTGAAGTCAAAACTAATCTAAAATATATTAGTTTGTCTCTGGATATATAAATCTGAGATTAATGTTTGAGAACAAAACGACAAAAGAAAAAGCCACACAGGATAATATTACATCACCATATTTTGGGGATTCATTAAAAGAAGTATGGTCCTGTGGAGAACAAAAAACAACTCTAATCATCTACAGACATGCATGTTTCATTAAGCAGAAATTACCCACGTTTCCCTCCAAAAGGAAAGAAGAGTGGAAAATAACTTTTAGCCTTTAACGGCTCATTTCAGGAGATAAACCCATTTGGACTAATTTACACTCAGTGTGTAAAAGCTGTTTTCCCTGAACAGAAAATTAAATCCAATCAGTGATGATTGTAGAAGATATAAACAGTATTTATGGCACCAGTAATGTATCCAAAGCACAGATTTACACCCTTGCTGGATACCAGGAGAGCAACGCTCTGGATGTGTGTGTGCAAATCCAAAAGCATCTTTCTTCATTAAGTTTCATTTTTTCAGGAGTTGTAAAAAGAGATTTTGACAAACCAGATCGAGATGCGTCTCTTTTGATTGCTTCATAGTCATGCCAGTCTTTTCGCCGCACACTGTTGCGTCCCAGCTGAGCGCCCTTCCCCGCACGATTCACTCCCTGATGGAAAAAACAGAATTGGACAGAGGGATGGTTATGAGCACCGTCATACACACAGACACATCTGCATTTGCTCTGCTCTGATGGCTGGATTAACCAGTGAACAGTATATTGGCTGCCATGTGGACATACAGCACACATTTCCACAGATGTTCATATTTTGTACTCCAGTGTGTCTTACAACTGTACGGCAAAAGGATATTTTAAGTAGGGAAGAGCTTCCAGAACTTCCTGATTTATAACAATCATTCACAACATGTTCAACCAATTTCAGCTTGAAGCTATTAAGCAAGCAATGTAAGAGAACTTCTAGCTTCAGTCACAACCAGCTGCTTCTTATGCACGCTTGCAAGTTGGTATCTTGGTTTAACTTTGCTCCTCAAGTTCCTCCTATTTTAGTAATTCTTTGGAAATAAGTGCCACATCGTAGACTGTGTATCAATGAAGTAAATGCTTAGGTGAAACGCATTAACTGACCCAGTAAGTAGTAGGACATGCCGAAAACACTTCACCAAGGAGGTATCCAGGTGGCACCTAGGCCAGACACGCAAACCACATCAAATGGTTGCTGGTAGCCCAAAAGAAGTGGTTCTTTTCTGGGCCAAGCTTGTAATGCTGTGTAAAGAACTAAATCACTCAGACAAAACCTCCACATCAGGATTGGTACAAGAAGGTGAATATGAAAAAAAAGTGGAAGCAAAAACAAAAACAGAAACAAAAGAAATACAGAGTGATACCATCTTTTCAAACTATTGCAGCACCTCCACCTGTAGAATCGCTGAGCTTCTGGACTGATATATATAAAAGAGACATGACTGTAGACTCATCTCTTCATTTCAGTAAAAGTCAGTTGAAACGTGCACGATCAGCAAAAATGGCGGCTTGCGACAGGGGATGTGATGTAAATTTGGCGTCAGCTTTCTCGTAAGGTGCCGTTTGCCCGGCACTAGGCGACAGGCATGGGGAGGCCCTTAGATGAATGTGGTAACAAGGATGAACAGAGAGTTGTGACTGACTAAGAGAAGAATAGCACGTCTCTAAAACATCTGCTAATCCAGTGATTGGGGATCAATTTGGATGTGCACCAAAAATAACGTTTGCCAGCGGTTAGTAATGTGGAAGTGCAGTGAAAATTGGAGATTGATTGAAGAGTAAAAACGGCAAAGTCACATAATCATTGATTGTCCAGTTGACTGAAGCTGAATCTCAAGTGCTAGACATTTCTGTTCCAAACCAGCGCACAACCTCCCACGCCAAACCTGCAAAGGCTCAGCCACCTCGCACACAGAAATGGTCAGGAGGATGGTAAAAGACACCTTTTTTGTTGTTAATGAGATAAAATGTGAAAAACCAACATAAGTCGTTTACACAACAGAGCAGCACACTCAGTCTTTTTTACCTCACCCCGTCAGTATCTGTGTCAGCTAAGAGATTTCTCCAGAGCATCAGCTCTCACTATCTAACAATGCTCTGCTGAGAGTTTATCCACAGAAAGTGTACTCTTCTATTTCATGCTTGACAACCCTGTGAGGAGAATATCAATGCCCTGACACACACACACACACACACACACACACACACACACACACACACACACACACACACACACACACACAAGCTCAGCATACAAAGGTGGAGGCTGTTTCTTCTTGCACTTAGTCATTCTACACGCTGAGTGACTTTCAGTGACTCTGCATTGTGAATTACAGGATCACAGCACAATGGAGAAATAATTAGCTCGATGGGAGGAGGCAATTAGTGAAACACTTTAAATACAAATGGCACCACTGACTGCATGAAATACTATGAATTATTAAACAGACTGCTGGCTTAGAGGAATACGACCCTGAATAACAAACTAATGGACAGTATATAACCACAAAGATTTCGTTTTAGGTTAATCTTTTTGATTAAGCCTTCAGACTCAGGCACAGACTCCCCCCCCCCACCCCTATTGCAAAGTGAGGACCCCCACCCCTATGACCCAGAGATCATTTTGACAATTTAAGGGTTATGTTAGGTTTAGATTTTTGTCAAGTTAATATATGCATTACTCAGTATGACCTTGTATGGGAAATTTTCTGCTCCATCTGGGGGCAAAACATTCCCACAAGCTTAACAACGCGTTTCTGGTGTAACAAATATGACGGTTGAAGATGACCAAATCTGACAAAAGAGGAATTTATAGTTACACATCCAGGGGCCATGCTCTAGCTTGGGGCCATGAGTACTACAAAACAAGCAAACCATAGAAACTGGCTGGTAAACTTTGGGGTGGAAAACCTTGAACAGCTTATTTATTGTCTGTTTGACCACTCAAATACCAGTTTTCCACCAACACCCTCCCCAAACTAAAAGAGATTCTATGCCAGTCTATGCTGCCATTGGCGTGGTATCACAAAACTGGCACTAACGTCAGAGGCAATATTTGTATGCAACACTGCGATACACTGGTCCTCATCGACTGTGACATACAGACTGAAGAAAGTGGATATCAAACCACCAGCTAACCCTGTAATGCTTATGTTTTATCAGTTAACCAAGTAAATAACCTGCCATGCTTCTCACACACCACACGAAGCTCAAAAACCAGCAATCCCCGAGTTGGGAGGCCTTATACTTAGGCAACTGGGGCTGCCTGAAATACAGGAACTACTACTATATCCTCCTTTGATACGTAGCATGGCTGCATAGTTTAATGGTTCACACATTTGGCTAACAAGCAGAAAATCTGCGGTTCAGTCCCAGGATGAGAGAGAGAGAAATCCCTTTGGGGTTGCAGAAGGAAAGGTTTGATTTGATTTGGTAAATCAGACATGCGGAGCTGCCCGCTGTAACAACCCCTTGAGAATAATGGGGCAGCCAGTAATAGCTTCTGTTGATAAATGTCAGCGCAAACATTCTCAGTGCCTGAATTAGACTTCCAATTTTAGTATGGTAAACTTGAATTGTACTTGAATACTCTGTAACTTTAATAGCTGTAATAACTGTACTGGACAGCTTTTGTACATTGATTAGAGCAGATTAAATTGTGTGAAGAAAACTGCATCAACTCACGATTCAATCTAAATTCTGACTTTTCCAATGAAGACTTGTGTGCTCCAAGACATCATCCCTTTATGAAGTACTCAACCTCTTAGGTCAACCGAAGAAAACCTTCAGCCCATTTGTAAGATGACTGACTAGACTGTGTGGATAAATGAAATAAGTTTTGTTTGTTTTTAAACTGATTCCACTCCATTTACTCGTCCTTCCTTTCATAGTCTCCCTTTTCCGACCCCATGATCTCACTACTTCATTCCCTTTCTGTTGCAGACACCTTCAGTGTGTCGCATATGGATCTGACAAGCAGCAAGAGTCCATCTGTGCAAATTCATACTATAAAGGAACAGTACTGTGCCGCCCCATTTCCTCCCGATTAAAATTTCAGCGCACATCGCCACAATATTCCTCTGGGGTTTTTCCTGCTGCTCAACAAGACCTTGAAAAACAAGACAAGGAGAGGGGGGAAGTTTTCAGCTAATGTGTGCACATGTTTAGTTTTGTGGACGCAGGACGTGGGCGGGTGGTTAAAGGAAAGAAAGTAATTGAAATAGACGGAAAAAGGATGGGCATGAAAACAACTGTCCACATGTGAGTAATGAAAGAGGAAAAGAAAAAGTAAGTCTGCAAAGTTTTTAAGACTTTGTGCTGTGGGTGGCAGGTTAAAACAACACAGTGACTAAAAGAGCTTCACACTAAAAGCAGCCTGCAAGTTTGTCACTGAAAAGCCAGAAATGTGAAGAACAATAGCAGTTAAAAGTGAACATCTCTACTAACTAATAAAGCTGATATCTAGATGCAAAAACCTTCACATCAGAGTCGCACTAAACTGTTAGGTTTGGTTAGAGTCAGGTAGAGGATATAAAAGAGAGTTCTCTCTACACAACAAGCAAACAGGATTAATTCAGCTCAAGGTGGCCATGGTTAACAGTGATGCCCACATGGTCTGGATGAGTAAAAGAAGGTAAGGAGGGCCACCAGAAAACCCCATAAACTGAGTGTATTCATTTAAAATCCACTTGAATTTTCTTAGTTAACTGGATTGTGGCACAGCTAGGCATGGAGTATTACAGTTACTTCGGGAAAATAAAACAACTCGACCTGAATACTTCACTGCGTGTCATACCAACCAACTGGTTACTGCTGCTCCTTGCAAGGTTATAATCAGTACATGCTGTGCTCATTATTCAGACTGGACTTAGAGGAAGAGAAACATTCTGAAACATACAAACTATCTGCAATTCTTACAAAAATTATTTCCCCCTTCTTCAAAAACACCAGTTATGTTTAAGGTTACAGTGACTGTTATAAATAAGGATTTAGCCCTCACAGGATTAAGCAGGATTTCATTACATTTCACACATTTTCCTAAAGCTCTACAAGTAACCCCAGAGCTGATTTACAGTAGCAGACAAATTTTAATGAAGCCAAACTCAAATTCAATGGCACATGAAAGAATGCAGCATTGTCCAATCACACAAGTTTGTGGTAAATTACTTTTTGTAATGAGGGTGCCAAATTTGTGTAGTTTAATTTACAACTTTGCAATGGCAGGGATCGTGACCCAGGGTGTTGCATCTATGTCATTTATTTAGGTTGAACCTGAAACACTGCTCAAGGCTCAGCTACGAAAGACACAGGTTAGAGCTCCACGAAGGGTCTAGAGCAGGGGTGTCAAACTCATTTTAACTCATCGGCCACATAATAAGGGGCGGCTCAGGAGGTAGAGCAGGTGCATCCATCGGAGTATGAGTGTGTGTGAATGTACTTAGAAAGCACTGAGCGCTATACAAGAATCAGTCCATACTGACCACTTCGATCTTAAGTGGGCCAGACCAGTGAAACTCCCCTGTCTCTCAGTGTAAAGAAGTTACATTTAACTGCATTTTCTACGCGATACAGAAAAAGCTGACAACTCTTTGAACTCAAATTGTAAGAAACTTCTGGTAGCTCGTTGC